TTTGTGGTCAACTGGCTTTCAGTAAGAGTGCCAAAACTATACAATGGTGGAAAGAATAGTCTTTTCAAGAAATGGTGCTAAGACAACTGGATACCATACGCAAAAGGATGAATTTGGACCCTTGCCATACATCAACATACAAAAATTAACTCAAAATGGGTCAAAAATCTACATGAAAGAGCTGACACTACAAAACTCTTAGACGAGGACATAGGCATAAATCTTGTGACATTCGATTAGACAGTGGTTCCTTAGATATCACACCAAAACCATAAACAACAAAAGATACAAAAATAGATACATTGGACATCACCAAAATTAAAAACTTTTTTGCTTCAAAGAACACCATCAAGAAATAGAAAAGACAACCCACAGAATGGGAGGAACTATTTGCAAATCACATATCTATTAAATGAATTAGATCCAGAATATATAAAGAGAAACTATAACTCAATAATAAAAAGACAACCCAATTAAAAATGGACAAAGGATTTGAATAGACATTTTTCAAAAAAATATGTACAAATAGCCAATAAGCACATAAAAAGATGCTCAACAGGCTTCCCTGGTGGCGCAGTGGTTGAGAGTCAGCCTGCCGATGCAGGGGACACGGGTTCATGCCCCAGTCCCGGAGGATCCCACATGCTGCGGAGCGACTGGGCCCATGAGCCATGGTTGCTGGGCCTGCGCGTCTGGAGCCTGTGCTCCACAGCAGGAGAGGCCACAGCAGTGAGAGGCCCACGTACCGAAAAAAAAAAAAAAAGATGCTCAACATTCTTAGCCATTAGAGAAATGCAAATCAAAACCACAATGAGATATCAACTTCACACCCACTAGGATGGAAATAATTAAGAAGACAGATAATAGCAAGTATTGGCAAGGATGTAGAGAAATTGGAAACTTTATACACTGCTGGTGGGAATGCAAAATGGTGCAGCTGCTTTAGAACACAATCTGTCAGTTACTCAAACAGTTAAGCATACAGTTACTGTGTGATCCAGCAATTCCACTCGTAGCTACATACCCAAGAGAATTGAAAATATATGTCCCCACAAAGACATGTACACAAATGTTCACAGCAGCATTATTCACAATAGCCAAAAAGGGGAAGCAACCCAAATTTCCATCAACTGGTGAATGAATAAATAAAATGTGGTATGTCCATACGATGGAATATTATCTGGAGATAAAAAGAAATGAAGTACTGATCCATGCTACAGTACAGATGAACCTTGAAAATATTGTGCTAAATAAAAGAAGCCAGGGGCTTCCCTGGTGGTGCAGTGGTTGAGAGTCTACCTGCCGATGCAGGGGACATGGGTTCGTGCCCCGGTCTGAGAAGATCCCACATGGCGCGGAGCGGCTGGGCCCGTGAGCCATGGCCGCTGAGCCTGCGCGTCTGGAGCCTGTGCTCCGCAACGGGAGAGGCCACAACAGTGAGAGGCCCGCATAACGAGAAAAAAAAAAAAAAAAGCCAAACACAAAAAGTGACACTTTGTATAACCCTATTTACATGAAATGTCCAGGATAGGCAAATCCATAGACACAGAAGGTAGATTAGTGGTTTCCTAAAGAGGAGAAGGGGATTAGGAGGAAGTGGGGAGTACAGGGTTTCATTTTGGAAGTGATGTCATTGTTCTAAAATTGATTGTGGTAACGGTTGCTCAACTCTGTAAATAAACCAAAAACCATTGAATTGTACACTTTAAATTGGTGAGTTGTATGATATGTGAATTATATTTTTACTAAAGCTGTTATGATAAAAAATGATACATGTCCAATATAAAAACACGAGAAAATTCAGAAAAGAAGAAAAAGAAACTCCATTCACATTAAAAATTTTTTTTTCTGTTTCCCAGTTGTCCTCAGGATTGGTTAAGTCAAAAATGCCTATCCTGAAATATAAGACCTCTCATGATTCGTTCCGTTTACTGCTTGAACGTCATCTTTCATCACTCCCACATTGGCACCATATGTTTCAACCGCAACGAATTGTTTTTCTCCAAACATTCCATGCTCCCTTGCAAGTCCCTACACTTGCACACGTCATTCTCATTGCCTGTCACTGTTGGTCCCTCCCTCCTTCATTTGGCCAATTGTATTCATCCATCAGGTTTCGGCTTAGACATCACCTCTTCCAGAAAGCTTTCCCTGACCCCAGGGATTGGGTGTACCTCCTTGGTGTCTAACGGTTCTCTGTGCTTATTTCTATCAAATCATTCACCTCATGTAGATTTTTTTAATTAAAGTTAAATTATGAACAAAGCTTCCAAGATCTCTGGGGCAATATAAAAATGTCTAATAGTCATGTCACTAAAGGTCCAGAGGGAACAGAAAAAGAAATTGGTGCAGTAAGTAATTTTTGAATAAATAATTACTGAAAACTTCCCAAAATTTGATCAAAGACATATATTTACACATTCAAGAACTCAGTGAACTCCAAACTGTATAAACATAAAGAAAATCACTCCTAGACAGTTAAGAGTACTGCTGAACACTAAACATAAGGAAACATTTTGCAAGAAGATAGAGCAAAATGAAACATAATATATATAAAACAAGAATTTGAATACTGTGGATTTCTCAGCAGAAACCACAGAGGGCAGAAGAGAAAGGAATAATGTCTTTAAATCGCTTAAAGGGAAGAACTGCCAAACCTGAATTCTATATCCAGCAAAAATATTCTTCAGGAATGAAAGCAAAATAAAGATATTCTCAGATGAAGAAAAACTAAGAGAATTCCTCAACAGATCTAAAAGAAATGCTAATGGGAGTTCTTCAGGGTGAATATAAATGATACCAAAGAGAATCTTGGAACTTCAGAAATAAAGACACAAAACAGAAATAGTAAGTATAAAATACTATTTTCCTCCCCTTAAGTTCTTTAAAATATGTAGGACTGTTGAAAGAAAAAATTATAAATAACATTGTCTGGAGGAATTTTTAATCTATTCAGATATAATACCTATGAAAATTTAAAAGATTAGAAGGGGATGGTAAAGTGGTTATAAGGCTCCACTTCTTAAAAATTTATTTATAGTAAAATTCAGTTGAGTTTTGAGAAATGCATACAGTCGTGTAACCAACGAGACAACTAAGATACGCAATAGTTCCAAAATTATGAACCTAATCATTACTCCCCAAATGTTCCTCTGTTCACTTTGTATTTCTTTCCTCTCTCCCCTCCCCACCTCCCCAGGCAACCAATGAGAAGTTTTATGTCACTACAGAGTAGTTCACATTTTCGAGGTTTTATGTGAACGGAACCAGGCAGGATGCACCCTTTTTTTCTGCCTTCTTTCAGCCAGCGTAATTATTTTGAGAGTCATTTATGTTGTTATCAGATAATACATATTGATACGTATTAGTGCACTGGATTCCTTTTGGGAAGACGAAGTCTACTGACACTTTATATGTGTGCATATGTACATATACGCATGCGTATGTAAGTTAGAGAGGTAAAGATTCTGAGAGAAACGTTTGGTATTTGTACAGTTCTTGGTACAATATTATGGATACACAGCTGGTACAGATGTAGGGAAGATGTTACCACTTTCTGGGGGACAGCATATTTTTATGGAAAAGTTCAAGGTTTAGGAGTCGAATAGACATTATTATCTGATTAATAATCATTATACGATTACTGACTAACAACCTTGAGTTGTTACTTATTTGTTATTTATCCTCTCTGATATGTGTGATAAATGTTATTTATCCTCTCTGTTATAAGTGTGATAAATATTATTTATCCTCTCTGTTCCTTCATTTCCTTATTTTTCAAAAACAGAGATAATAACAACACTTCATATGGTTGTTATGTGAATTAAAATGAGATTACATATATAAAGCATTGAGCATGGAGTCTGACACATAGCAGACAATCAAAAACGTGTTAGTTCTTTTTCTTTTCTACTTTTTTTTTTTACATCTTTATTGGAGTATAATTGCTTCACAATGTTGTGTTAGTTTCTGCTGTATAACAAAGTGAATCAGCTATACATAACATATATCCCCATATCCCCTCCCTCTTGAGCCTCGCTCCCACCCGCCCTATCCCCCCCCCAGGTGGTCACAAAGCACCGAGCTGATCTCCCTGTGCTATGCGGCCGCTTCCCACTAGCTATCGGTTTTACATTCGGTAGTGTATATATGTCCATGTCACTCTCACTTCGTCCCATATTACCCTTCCCCTTCCCCGTGCCCTCAAGTCCATTCTCTACGTCTGTGTCTTTATTCTTATCTGGGGAGAAAATTTCTCATCCTTAAAAAGCGGCAGAGCGTTTGAGCTTAATCATAATATCATAGTGCCATCTGGTGACCATATAGAACTATTACATTATCTGTATCAGAGACTTCATTTCTGAAAAAGTTCTACCACATCTAAATGCCTGTCTTTAAGATGTCATCTCTAGTGTGTTCTGGCTTAGTATTGCAGGGACAGGGAATGAGGACTGTGCTTGAGGTCAGTTCTGCTGAGCTTGGAGATGCCTCCCCTGTCTGGGCATCCTGTCCTGTCAGGAGGAAGAGCTCAAGGAAAAAGGAGAGGAGTTTCCCTCCTAGCCTAACCCTAAAATGGGCAGATGACAAATTAAGTGTGGAAGCAAGTGAATGAAGTCTTCACATCCGTTCTGCTCTCAGGGATATGGTGGGAGGGAGGATGGTATCGTCTCCTGTTGGAAGGCCTGCCCTTGAACGATCTGGCCACTGTAGCTTTGGCCTTGAGTCCAATCTCAGAGGGGTTTCAAAATCATGTAACCCCTGATATCACACAAATACCCCTAAATATGGACTAGAAAAAGGCCCCCTCTCCATTCTACCAGCCCCTCCCCCACCTGGATGAATACAGCCAAGGGCTCTGCATCCATCAGGCTTAAGCCTGGGCTCCGGTTGCAGGACGTACCCCTCCTCCCACCCCCACCTCTAACCGCTCGCAAAGGAGTCTCTGCAGACAGCCACTCTTGCCATCTCTCCTGTGCCACCAAATCGAGTCAAGACTGGTCAATTTATTAAACGTGAACTTTATTGTGGTTTGGATTATGTAAGGCAGTGTGGTGAAGGCACTGCAGAAGTTAGACTGAAAAACATGGTAGGAAAAGGAGCGAGCTAAGAAAACTACAAAATTTTTTAAATGATCGCGTGCTGGACTAGACTAAGTATACTACAACTATGTCATTTTATTCGTCATTGCAGAAGCGTTGAAATATTCTAGGAGGTGGAGCTTGGGGGATGGGGAAAGGCTTCATGGAGGAGGTGGCATTTATGCTGGGCCTTGAAGGAGGGGTAGAATGTTGATAGAGGAGATGGAGGGAAGAACATTTCAGAATGGCTGACTCTAGAGAAAATTCTATAGAAGGACTGAAAAAACAAGAGGGCAAACAAACACCCCCAGGGAGTGAACGCTCCCAACTGGGAGAAAAGCCTGAGGGGTCTCAAGCCCCCCAGGTGGGGTCTTCAGTACCAATGATATTAGGAGGCACAGGACAACGGGCTTGATTGTAAACCTAGCAGCAGCAGGAGGTTTCACATTTGCAGTCAGGGGCCCCAAACTGGCGAGACTCTGTCTGGATGGAGTCTCTCGTCCTTTTATCCTGCGTGGTCCTCATTCATCCTTCCTCTTGCCCGCTGACTGCCTGAACGGTAGTTCGTGCGCGCCCACGTGCGCGTGTGTGAGTGTAGGTGTGTGTGGATGCGTGGGGGACCGAGGCTTTGTCTCCCACTGCAGCTTCTTCCACTTTTCCCTCTTGTGGCACACAGCTGGCTTCCATGCAGCTGGAGCTCGGGCCCTTCCCACTGTCTGAGCCTCACGGAACTCCAGCTCTTGATTAAGCACCTAGGAAGCTTCCTCAACATGAAGGTAAAACCTACCGTGGGGGGTGACTTGGGTCAGGGCAGGACTACGCTTTCCAGAGGTGGTGGGTGGTGGTGGTGGTGATGGCGGTGCCGGCGGTAAGGGCTGGGGATGTATAAACAGGCTGTGGCTGCTGGGTAATAGGCTGCTGGGACACCTGTAGTGTTCAGTCAGGAGCTGGGATGTCAGGCTAGACCTGCTTGGCCTTGATCACCCCTCCACCTTCCTCAACATGCCCTACAGGGGAGACATTTTGGGCACCTGAAAACAGCTAAGACATCGGTAGGGTATCCAGGCTGTTGTCGTTGTCCTGCATGAATCTCACCCCCGGAAGCCCCAGAGATCTTTCCTTGGCCAACATCTGTCTGATCTCCAGATAGGACTGTCACCTCCCCCTGTCCAGCTGCTGGAGGTATATAGGTTATGTAGCTGCTTACGCTACGGATGGGGAGGTATGGGGAACTTATCAGAAGAAAGGCAAAGTTAATTACTGTGAATTTCTTTCTTTCAAAAGATTATGAATCCTAGATAAGATCTAGCATCTGACAGAAAATAAAAGGATGGGAAAGCTCTGTCAGGATTCCCGGGAGCTGGAGACTTAGAGCTCAGTGAGATCATCACTGGAAATAACCTTGAAGCTGATGTGGCCTTGTTTAACTTTGGCAGTTGGGCCACCCTTCTTACGCAGGTACAGGGACTTCAGATCACGGCAGTCACTGGGGTCAGCATCCAGAGTGACCTGCCCCAAGAACTGATCACAGAACTTTCGTCTGTTCCAGACCTGGAGAGACAAGTCAAGAAAGTGAAGATGAGCAACCCTCTGTAACATTGGACTTTGCCGAGTGGCATCTAGAACCTAATGCCGGGCTTTGAAAGGTCTGTGTAAAAACCGAGGAACTGTATTTCCTGATACCTCTCTGGCTAAGGGGAAAGTACCTCAAAGAGGAGAGACGAAAAGCCACCAGTCAGAGTTCAGAATCAACCTTGATCTATGAGATGGCCGCCGAAAGGCAGCTGGTCAGAAGCATTAAGTCAGAAAAATGGCCAAACCACAGTGCTCCATTCTGAGCAGCAGGGCGAGGGTCGTGTGAATTGGCATATACTTCCCCACATGGGATTTACAGTACCTGTGTTAACATGTGTATCTGCCAGCATGCGGGCTTCTGCCCACAATGAAAGAACAGAGGAGAGGAGATTTAGGATGGAGATTCATGAGGAAGCCAGTGATTGTGCCTGGTGGGAGGTGTCTTCCAGTACAAAACAAACAGACAAAAAACCAGGATAGGGCTTCCCTGGTGGCACAGTGGTTGAGAGTCCGCCTGCCGATGCAGGGGACGCGGGTTCGTGCCCCGGTCCGGGAAGATCCCACATGCCGCGGAGCGGCTGGGCCCGTGGGCCACGGCCGCTGAGCCTGCGCGTCCGGAGCCTGTGTTCCGCAGCGGGAGAGGCCACAGCAGTGAGAGGCCCGCGTACCGCAAAAAAAAACCCAAAACAAACAAACAAACAAAACAGGATAAGCCTTGCTCCGTATCCTAGACATCTGTGAGGCACTTGGGATCATCCAGTATCTGGTACTGAATATGAGCCACGTGAGGGTCCCTGTTCACATCCTTACCTGCACTATAATAGGAATGTCAGTGGTCCTTCTGTAGAAAATGGCCTGGGTGTCAAAAATGGCATGAACAGTATTCTTTTGGACAGGAGAACGGACTTCCTCCTTTCCACACTTGATGACCAAATATGGGTTTACAGCTGGAACAAAGTAACATTTATTTTTAACACAGTGATTAAAAGTCCTCTTTCTAGATAGTCAAGACACTATTTCACTAAGTCTATTCTGGGACTTTTAACATCACACCTGGGTACTAGAATGACCTAGGACTTTGGTTCCTATTTCCCTTTTCTTTTCTATACTTTATATAGGGATATAGAAATGAATATTAGATAGGCCCTTGCCCCAAGACTTTTATATCCCATTTTCTCTTTTTTTAAATTGAAGTACAGTTGATTTACAACATGGTGTTAATTTCTGCTGTACAGCAAAGTGATTCAGTTATACACATATACATTCTTTTTAAAATATTCTTTTCCATTATGGTTTATCACAGGATATTGAATATAGTTCCCTGTGCTATAGAGTAGGCCCTTGTTGTTTATATATATCCCATTTTCCTATCACGGTTGACAGCCATTCTGACTTTTCTACACGGAAAACGCCACTGGAGAGAATCATGTGTGACCATCTTTTCTAACCATATATGCAATAAATGAAACTGATTTTGCTTTCCCAGACACCCCTGCAGTTCTTACTTTCATTGGCATACTTCTTCTCCAGGCCCTCGGCACTGTGCACTGTGATCTGGGTGACAACCTTGGGGTAGCCACGAGCCAGATTCCAGCAGGACATCTTGGGCATGTCCAGAGTCAGCTCCCTGGAACATCAAAAAGAAGACACGTCATCCATGACGAAGGCCCTTTGATGAGGAGATAGGCTCGCCAAAGCAGACCCTGTTGTTGAAAAACACGAAATGCCAAGTGACCTAGCCCATTCCTCCTCCGACATGGCTTATATTTTATGAGTATGTTTTCCTTTCCCCTTGCTTTAAGGCCCAGCAGATAAAGATCAGAGTAGGCAGGGCTGGGGTGAAAAGGTAGCTTTGGTGACCCAGCACTCAGAACGTAATAGAGGAGCAGTGAGGAGTGCCAGCTGTTTAAGAGAAGAGTCAGCCAGAGAACAGAAGATAAAATATAAGTGGAAAAGCTTAGGCTATAGGCCTGTTCTCCTTAAATGGCAGCTCAAAGCGCTGAAGCTCTGACCTCCGCAGGGAACTTCTCACAACCCACACCACTTTGAGAAATCTTTCTCCTGCCATCACTGCAGTTAAATCTGACTTGCATAAGTTGTCCCTTTGAGTGTCCACCTAGGGGAAGAGGGCCAAGAGGGTTAGGACTGGAGGCAAAGCACAGAATGGGAGTTGGCAGGGCTGGCCAAGGAAACGGCACCTGAGCTGGACGGGCACTTCAGAGAAGATTCTCAAGAGAAACTCGCTGGTGCGGCCATGCTGGAACATAGTTGGGACAAGCACGTAGTTGCCCTTCTTCAGGTACTTGCTCAGAAACACGGTGCGCGTGTCAATGTAAGTGGAGGTCCCCGCACGCTCCTGGATGTACAGGTGGTGGAGGCGGAATTTGCGGTTCATCTCCACCTGGAAATGCAAGAGAAGGAGATGCTCCATTGCGCTCAGATCATAGTTTTTGCGTTTGAAGAGCCTAGCTCTTCTACTTTCTTTATCCCTCGACCTTCCTTAATTCCCCTAACCCCAAGCCGTCCTAATTTTGACACTGTTTGCCATCATTCTCTCTGCTCCAAAGGCCCATTCTTACCTTGAAGAGCTCAAAGCCGATGATGTAATTGTCGGGTCTTCCCATGCGGCGGTAAGTGCGCAGGTCTTTTTGCTGCAGAGACATGATGACCTTGTGCCCATCCTCGGGCACAGTGAAGATGTACTAAGGGAAAGAGGCCAGCAAGGAGCTTAGTTAGCACTTCTGTTTCAGATGAGCCAGCTCAAATTTCAGGGAAGAAAACTCTACCTTGCGAAGCAGAGACCTGGGTCATGTTCTGGGCTTCACCATTGACTTGCTAAATGCAGATCCTAATGTTTGCTTCTCCCTATGGCATTCAGCATGTGTTGAGAGAGCCAACTTCATACCTAGGCCTTTGATGCCAAAGGGGGTATGCTTTGTTTTAATAAGTTCTTGGTAGGATCTTGGGTTTTTTAAAATTGTCCCCTTGTGGGCTTCCCTGGTGGCACAGTGGTTAAGAATCCGCCTGCCAATGCAGGGGACACGGGTTCGAGCCCTGGTCTGGGAAGATCCCACATGCCATGGAGCAACTGGGCCCACGTGCCACAACTACTGAGCCTGCGCTCTAGAGCCCGCGAGCCACAGCTACTGAAGCCCGCGTGCCTAGAGCCCGTGCTCCGCAACAAGAGATGCCACCGCGATGAGAAGCCCGCGCACCACAAAGAAGAGTAGCCCCAGCTCGCCGCAACTAGAGAAAGCCCGCACACAGCAACGAAGACCCAATGCAGCCAAAAATAAATAAATACATAAAATTTTTTAAAATCTTATGAACTGTCCCCTTGTTTTTAAAAGCTGTACACAGGAAAATTTGAGAATCGACAAAGACAGAAAGCATCCTTGCTTGACTTAACCTGACACTGCAGCATTCCCCTAGGCTACCCTCCTATTGCCAGCCCAGATGTGTGACTTGTGGAAGGGGCCGGATCCATTTCCCTGGTGAATTGATGCTTTGCTATCACCATTTTAAGGATGCTGCAGTCCTTTTCTAGAGACTTCCCAAACATCATCTGCGGAATCATGGTGCCATTGGGAAGTAAGACTAAAAGACATCAGATTTCTCTCGTTCTCCCCCAAACCTCCCACCAAGAAACAGGAAACAGATGCAGAAACATGTGCTCACGAGGCCCCCGTCAGTTCATCCTGCACAGACACTTAAACAGTGAAGCCAAAAAGCCCATTTCCCCAGTGTGGTATATGTTCCTGATAGTTAAAGCATTTCTAGGGCTGTAAATGAAGGGGGGTGGCAATAGGAGCTTTCTTTTCTTTAGGGGCAATTAAGGTGGAAGGAATGGAGAAAACTATGAGTTAAGTAAATCAGCCCACCAGCTTTAGTATCCTTCAAAGTGGCTGGCCAATGAAGCTCATGGAAAGAAAAGACACACTCGTGTAAGGCTGCAATATAGTCAGAAGTCTTGTCTCCTGTGGTTAGCTCATCAGCACATTTGCAGATAAAACCATCAAGGTTATTATAGGTTCAGGCTTTGGATGTTCGGATTTTTTGCTTTGGGGTGTGCCTGGGCTTGACCTCTAATGTGTCATCTGGAATAGCATTGTAATGGGAGATGGATGGAACGGGGTCACTGACAGGGTAGTGATTCAAATCCTGAGAAGAATGACCTGGTATTCTAGATGAGAAAAGGGAGGCCTAATGATGGGGTTCAGAAGAATCACCTGCATGAGAAAGAGGACACATATAGTACATGCGTACCCAAGAGAGCAATTAGGCAGTAAAGAAATGAAAAGAATTGAGAAAACGTCAGGGAGCAGGTCCTTTCTCTCTAATGTGGGACCATCACAAGGAAGCAGGGAGTGTCAAAGCATACCCAGCAATATGGTCAGGAGAGAGGCAGCCAGAGGAGATGGCTTGGATTTGATAATGTCACCAAGTCACGTCTCTACAGAGACACAGTCTGCTTTACAGGCATCTGAGCCAATCCCTATGCATCTTGGTTGATGAATATTACACAATAGCTGCAAATGGGAGAACTGATGTCAAAGAAATACTCCAAGGTGAGACCTGGCTTCCTATTGCCTTGATAACTTGAAGGCAAAGAAAAAGAATTTGATTTAAACCTGGGGATTCTGCAGGAAGGTATCACGGTTGTTATAGCAGCCTCCTGAACGGTTCATCAGCGGGTCATCATCCACAGTCCAGCATCCCACCACCGATTCCAGCTCCTTGCGGCCAAAAATAGGGTTGTTCACATTGCGGCAGACATTCAGTTCATGGAAGTTGCGGCAAAAGTCCTCCAGGCTCATCCTGAATGGAAGGAAAGAAATGAAGATGATACTTAATACCTACCCCTGCAGTTCCATGTGGAAGCCCCAATTCCCTTTAGCACAGAAAACCTCTACTCACCAAAACTCTCCATCATCAGACATAACAAGCCCCAGGTTCTTGCGATCTGCTGCAGTCAGTTGCTGCCACTCTTCAGAACTAAAGGCAAATGAACAAAGGGATAAGCCATTATGTTTGCCATTGACTTCCTGCAGTAAGCAGGATGCCAAAGGAACAGAATACATGAGGACTGGGACGGTTTTGTCTCACCACCAGCTAAGTCACAGGCCCCATGTCCGAGAAGGACCCACAGATGTCACTAAGTATTGACAGCCCACTAGCGGTCTGGAGGGATGGGATTGGGAGAACGTATAGGGCTTTGGGGATGCAGCAATCAAAGTGGAAAGCCACTCACATCTCACTCCAGGGCCCACTCCATTCTTGTCTTCCCAAGGGGTTCCTCAGACGAATCATGTACAGCTTCTCCGTACTGAAGACCTCCACGAGTCTTTCTCCAAGACGAATCTTGCGAATATCAGTCATGGTGTACGTATGGCCCTTCAGTAGACCCCAATCAGTTTCGACTTCTTGTTCCTCCTGATTGGGAAACTGAGAGCAAAGAAAGATACATAAGGGCACAAGAATTGGGAGATCCAAGGCTTGGCTCTCCCTCTTCTTTGACTGGTTTACCCGAGTATGGTTGAAACTAGTTCTCTTATGCAGATAGAAATTTGATCCTGCCGCCTAACTTGACACAAAGCAAGCCAAGGAAAGGAAATAAAGAATTTAATATAACAACTCAAACAATTCAAATGACCCACGGTAGTACATTGATGTGAAGAGCATTGAAATTTGTTGGGGTTGGGGTTGGTTAATTCTTTGAGCAAACAGCTATAACTGCCACACCCAGGAGCAGAGGCAGGAGGAATCATTTAGCAGAGACTATTTCCATCAGCTCGGATGCTACATCGGCCTCCAGTGGGATGACTGGTACAAAAGGAAAATAGGTTAAAGCTCCTTAGCCTCTGCGCCAGGGCTCAGTGCCTATCGTCAGCTTTCCGAGTTTCATAATGACTTGTCCTGGATCTCCAGGGTAAGGGTGATGTTCTCCACTAAATGTCACGGTCTCCTCTGCCGGAAGTGAGCGAAGAGTGGTTTGGGTGAGTACAAACCTCAATGGAGCAACAGATCAGACCTCCTTTGGTAAATGTTTTGTACAGTTCTCCAAACAGCTTGTACTTCTCCTCAACGAGCTCAGTGTATCTTCCCTTCTGCATGTCAACAGTTTCAGCCAATGTGCCAGTGAAGTCCACGATGATATCAGTAGTGGTCAGACCATCGAGGGCTTCATAACACCCAAGCAGCCTGGGGGCAAATATGCAAAGTTATCTTTGTAAAAGTATTTTTCCAGGTCAAGGACATCTTGTCCCCCCAAGTTAAAACAGTCCTTGCCCAGCCAGCCTTTACTGGCTAGCTTTCCTCTAGGTACAAAATGAGAGATATTTTGAGAATATAGTCACATTTCTAGGTTTAGGCTATGTTATCTAGGACGGTCCATGCAGAAACTTCTTTCTACAGGTAAATATTAGACACGGAGAAAATCTGCGGCCATAATGCCATGTGATCTGTAGATCAGCAGCAGGAAGAGGGCACCTGGGAGCAGTAAGGGCTTAATGGAAACTGGGACAGCTGATTTCTTTCTCATCTAGAATTAGGGAGGGCCATTCCCAGGTGCAAAGCAATGCCTTGGATCTGATTGATATCCTACCCAATTTAAAGCCCAAGGCTAAGCTGGGAGAGCATGAGTTCCCAAGGATGAATGTGACCTTCCTTTCCTTGTGTAGCCTGACCGCTGACTGGCCAACCCCCCTCCTTACTTGGCATAAGCTTTTTCCAACAGAGCATTCCAAAACTCATTCATGGAGGTGGAGAAGGAGAAAACGAGATCTCCATTGATGGTGGGCAGCAAGTCATCAATCACCACCTCGGTCCATTCTCCAAAATGCCAGAAACGGAAGCGAAATATCCCAGCATATTTATCTAGTTTTCGAGGGTCCCATTCCTGTTCCTTATGGTTGGGAATTGTCTGGAAGTATAAGAACATTCAATCAACTGTTATTCACCAGACCATATCCAAATATTGAGATTACAATTGACTTCTGACAAATCCCATGTGGCGACAGGAAGCACACCAAATACATTTGGTTTGGGTCTAGGTAGGAAGTCCCTGGTAGGGCATTTTTTTCTGCAATTTTTGCTCCCCCAGTTCAGTTTTGCTGAGGATAGTATTACCATGCTTGCCCTGAATGCACACAGGGTGACTGGGGGCAGCAAGTTATGGGTTAAATTATTTACCACAGTTAATCTACAAACTCGATCATGAGAAACTGTCTACACAAACATATTCGTGGTTGCATACTTAACCACATAAACAAAGGCATTTTAAAAAGCAAAATCAATCAAAACACAAGGTCCCCTGTGGTTTCAGTTTTCAAAGGTTCATCCTAGAGAGTTCGTGCAGATTCTATAGACTATAGATTTTATTCACACCTTGAATAAAATTATATTTGGGAAAGTCTCCTTTTTAAATACAATTACACATTCATCTTCGAAAATTGTTATTTTCTGAAGAAAATGCTCTAATTTTTCCCAGGTCAACACTTCATTGCCTTGAACTCTGCCTAAATGCCAAAGGGATTTTTGTACTCTTATAATTTATTAGAACCTTTTCAAGGATCTAGTTCCACCTTTCTCACCTTTTCTTTTGTTCACATCTGTCAGTGACTTCCTGGCCCCCAGTGGCTTTTTACCCCAGTAGGTACTGAGAATGCAAGTATGCAGAGCTACTGAGTCAAAGTACTGCAAGTGACAAAAGATCACCTAATATGTGCGACAAAGCAAATAGAGTAAAATGTTAATGGTAGAATCTAGGTGAGTAAATGGGTGTTGACTGTAAAATTCTTTCAACTTTCTGTATTTGTGAAAATTCTCATAATAAAATTGAGGGAAATCACCTTCAATCATGAATACTTCTGACTTCAGGGATTAAACAATCTGAGACAGTTACGAGCTGACTTTTCCTAAAGTTACTAAAGAAGACAAGAAGGTGGAAACCGAGGGAGGTCGGTACCTTTGTCCAGTGAGACTCCTGAACAGCCAGACAGGAAAACGCAGAGACCATTGGCTTGTGCCCCAGTCTCCCTTGGGTCAGCTGGTGGTTACTGATATTGCCCACAATCAGACGGGGGTCATCGCAGATGTCCTGTGGATACAACAGTTGGTTCTAAGAGCCTGGGAAGTGTTCCCCACGGGTCAGTGTGAGCCCAGCTAGGCAGGACAGACTTCACAGATGAGGTAAGGTGGAAAGATTACCAGGACTTCCACAGGTAGGAGAAAGGAAAGGTTGGGGGGTTGTGGAAACAAACACAAAGCAGTAGCTCATCAAGACACAGGAAAAAGGGTCACGTGGGAAGGCGGCAGGAGAAATGGAAGGAGAGGATGCGACTGAGACAGGATGAGACGTGCTGGTGGGAGCCCTCAGACATAGCTATCATTGAGGTTTAGAGAGTTTTCACTGCAGCAGTGAGTATGTAAAGAGAGAACGAGGGATTAGCACATTACATTCTGAACCTATTTGTCAGGATGAGATTTTCTGAAGCGCCTGTGCTCAGATGGGTGATTGCACTTAAAAGACAAGGCCTGATAGAGGTGGACATTAATGCTTCTCCCTCTCCAGAAAAATGAGTTAGGAGACCTTATACATGAAGCCCTTTCCTAACATAAAGCAAAGGCAACAGCGGTGTCCACGCAACAAGATTTCCCCACATCTTTGGATGAATACAGATGGCAGCAGCACTAACAGCAGGTGGTAATAGACCGCGTCTAGGAGCACTTCAACAGATACTCTTTTCCCACAGGGGATGTTCAGAACCTGGACAGAGTGGAGCAAGTATTTGTTTGAGGCGTATGTGTGTGTCTTTCCCCAACATATCATTAGCTGTGCCATTCCCACTGCAAGTAGGAAAATGAGGCCCAAATAATACAATTCCAGCACAATGTAATGGAGGAATTTTCAAAGTATAATCAGTGCCTAAAGGAAGGATCCCCAAAATTTCCCTGGTGGTAGACAAAATAATTTGAATAGTGGTGGTAATGTTCACGCTGAAGGCTTAAGAATGACTAGAGTTAGCAGTTGGACAAGGGAGAGGGATGGAGGCGTAAGGAGTAGAGAGACAGTCATGGACAGAGGTATAGTCACATACATGACACCATATAATTGAAGACACGTTTGCGTGACTCAGAGTATCAGCCCTTGCAGAGTTCAAAGGCAGGAAATACCAATGAAGTCTTGGGTAGATGGAGACAGCTTCGTGGAGGAGGCCGTTGGCCAGTACCTTGACATTTTGCTTACCCAGCAGAAATAAATCCTAGTCTCAAATGGAAAGAAAATCTAGACATATATCCTTTAAAAAATTATTAAATAGAGACAGCTATATTTTTCTGGTTCTCAAACCTCTTTTTTTTAATGGACATAATTCTCCTTGATGAAGGGTCTGGTCTACAGAATGAAACATTCCATATATTCTTTAAAAGCCAAAATAACTCTGGAAAGGAATAGGCATTCTGGGCAAGGACAAGTCCAAACTGAAGATTAATTGGTCATTCCTTTGCCAAAAGGAGAGTTAGGTGGGTTGCCGTCAGCTTTGGTTTTCTGGTCTTTTTTTTTTTTTTTTTTTAGATGCATGTCTGGTGTCTCATTACTTTTTTGTCTTAGTAGAAGACTTCTATCTTACTAAATTTTTTCATGCGTTGGGAGCTGCCTGTTTTTTCATTTATTGAACATAAAGCAGGTGTGTTGGGTGGATTCAGTCCTGATATCCTTTCTCTTCTGATTGTTTCTTTGCCCTTTCTAAGATGAGACGAAATACAGTTTTTCCTTCTGAGTCAGGCGTTACCATTTTATTTGTAGCAAGATGTAAAGTTATACAGTGATTTCTGGGACTTAGATGATGCATATAATAGTTTCCAAGCATGAAAAAACAATAAAGTGAACATTGATATGTGGAAAAGTGTGTTTTTAGATTATTGAGGCAAATCATTTGCTGGTTTTATGTAGAGTTATTAGTGGTTGGAGTTACATAAGTGTCTTGATTTTCCACAAGGCTTTAATTCACAGCAGGGATCTAGGCTCAGCAAACACTTTTGGCATGTCAACTTCTATTTAAGACCTAAAGGATCATGTAAATAAGCAAAAAGACATGGAAACGGAACTCAAATTGAGGAACTGGATAATTATTCTCCTGTCGACTAACGTGAATGTGATTTTATATATATATATATATATATATATATATAGTGTGTGTGTGTGTGTGTGTGTGTGTGTGTAAAGCTGTGTGTAATCATGGGAGAATATACATTTGGACAAAAAAAACACCTTATTTTCCATTTCCTCTCATAAACTGGCCCATGCCCCAGTTTTACTTCACCACTCTTCATACATGATAGATGGCTATTTAACAATGTGTTTTTAAAAATGAGTTAACAGTCCATAGACTGTCAAACCTGGAAGGAATTTAGAGACTATTTTGTCAACCTGTTTATTTCACAAATGAGGAAACAGGCACAGAGAAGGGCAGTAACTTGCCTCTCCTGTCATTTAGCTAGTTAGTAGACCTAGGACTAAAGTTTTAGGTTCTTCAGTTAGAGAAGGAACCTCTAGACATCAGCTGGTTCATCCTTTTGCCTTTAAGTCGATCAATGGTCACCATGCAAAGGATAATACCGTGAAGCTCTTCAGGGGTGGAGATGCAACTCATTGTCTCAGTCATCCATCCCAGTGTTTTATGTCTCTTTGCTTAATGCTCACCTAAAAGCTCTCCATCATTCTGGAAGACTGGCTTAACTCATGTCTTAGCTTTTGGTTCTAGGCTAGATATCACCAATGTGCTTTAATCTCCTCAGTTTCATCCACTAAATATGAATCAAACTCTTATGTATGTCAGCACCGTGATGTGAAGCACGGGAGAACATTTTTATTAAGCCACATTTTTTTTTTACCTCTTTAAGGAAGTGAAAGACTAGAAATAGCTAAGGAGGTAGAAAGGGTAACGGGTAATGAGCCAATGCAAATCTAACAGCCAAATGGACTTTTTGGTGACAAATTTGAAAACAATGAAATGGATATTTATTGAATTTTCCCCTAGATTTAGACAACTGGCTATAATTCCTGCAGGGGTGAGGAAGCAAGGCTGGAGACATTTTCCTGTAAGTCAAAGCTGGGATGCAGAGTGCAGATGGGACATTTCAGCCCAAGCTCTGCTGAAATGGTAGGCAGTGGAGTTGGAGGAGAAGTCACAGCTCACATAGTCACATATTTGGGTGGCTTGAGAGGTAGGGAAGATTGCTGAACCTCTAATGGTTCCCAGCTGTGTTGGCCTAGCCGACGTGATCCTTGAACTGGGCTGTTTGTCAAGGCAAAATAATTTCTTGGGGGAAAACACACAACTAGGAAGTCAAGCACCAAGAGTAAATCCAGGAATGGTCTCTGCAGACCCCTATCCCTGAGCCAAAGCCTTCTACTGATACAAGCAAAGCAGCATCTCTAGGAAGTATGTTCTCTTAGCTGAGCATTGAGAGATCCTCCTATTGTCCTTACCTCATCTCCTTTCCCAGAGACCTCTGGGTGGGGGGAGGGAGGCATACAGTTATAAGTCTTGGAGCCCCACGCATGTCACTCTATGTGGCTCTCTTCGCACCTACCACATCACATATTTAGCAATTTTTTTTTTTTTACACAGGTGAAATTTGCTGACAATAAACATTGAGGTCCAGGGTAAACCTCAAGAACCACAGTAAAATGAAAGGCTGCCTAGAAAACCAGCAGCCGGAAGAGTGGAGGCATTTCAAAAGTGCTATGGGCAGTCTAGCAGTCCCATGGGGATGAGGACAGTGTGGACACTTGCAAGTGAGGCCAGCCCTGCAGTAGGTACATTAGGACTAAGTCCAAGGCTCTAAGTCGTCCCAGAAGGCCCAGGGCTGCCATCCAGGGCCTGAGGGCTTTAACAGCTAGTCCAAGCAACCATTATCTTATCCTTAGAAAATCGTACCATCTCCAGACACGGCATTTATAGGTGGACCTCGGCTCAGGGACCGATGTTGAACCACCTGCACAAGGAGTCAACTTTACTTGCTGGGGAGTTTTGCTTCTGCATGACGATCTTGTCATTGGCAAAACATTCTCTTCCTTCCTAACCCCTCCAAGGAAAACTCAATATGGAACCATAGAATAATATCTTAAGCCCAACTTCCACTTCCAAACTGGACAAGCAAGTCACTACAGAATTATCTTCTTCTTTAAACCTTCAGACTTCTGCAAGGGGACTCCAGGTGTAAATCCCAAACTGCTTTATTGGGAAAAATGTATATATCCGTGCAATGGAATACAGTTCAGTGATAAAAAGAAACATACATGCTGCCACATGGATGGTCCTTGAAAATCATGCTAACCTAAAGAAGCCAGTTACTTTTATGATTCCATTTTAAGTGAAATGTCCAGAATAAGCGAATCTAGACAGAAACCGAAAGTACATTACTGGTTGCCTGCGACTGGGGGGAGGAGGGGTTTACTCCCTGCAAATGTGTACAAGGGGTTGTATTGGGATGATGCAACTGGTCTAAAACTGGATTGTGGGGATGTTTGCACAACTCGGTAAATTTATTTTAAAAAATCATTGCTTTGTATACTTAAAGCAGCTGAATTTTATGGTGTATAAATTGTACTTCGATAAAGCTGCTAGCGTTTTTTAAATTCAGAATCTAAAATAAATAGGACAGATGGCAAGAGTATTGGCCTATTCAACTCTTTTCGATTGTGTCAACAGAGAAAAACACTTAGGACCATTCACGTGGAGGCACATGATCTCTGGGAAGAAAAAGAAATTCATGAACAGTCTAGGCCAAAACTACTCTACAGAGGTGTCCCATTCAGCTGGGTGTTGGAAATTTCTATTCGCACAAAGAGAGAAATATTTCCTCCTTTAATGGGGTCCCTCATATGCAATCTCTCTCTGCTTCTAATGTCCCCTCTCAACCGATCCCTCCCATTCCTCCCACCTTTGCTTTAATCCAGAACCTCATCGGCCTCTTCTCACCCAAGGTAGTGAAAAGACCTGGGCAAGGGCCATGGTAGTGGAGGCTGAACTCAGAACTTGACCAGGAGAGCTGCCAGATCTTGTGCAGGTGCCCTGGCTTCCTCCACAGCTGGCTGTGCAATCCCCGAAAGGCCTTGCTCCATTTTAGCAGGAGAATAGCTGTGTCTGACTCGAAGACACGATTGTAGCTGGGTACGACTCAGACAGGAAAAAAGCCAGAGGCGGGTAGGAGGGGAGAGTCACTGGAGAAGAGATTTTCTGTGGGAATTTGGTGGCTAGATTTCAGCCTAAAAATCCTACCTGCCGTCTTAGGATCACACTGTAACTCAGGGGAACTCAGCTCTTAGAATCTGCTAAGACTTTATATGTTGAAGGTCCAGGAGGACAGGAAAGCCCAGGAGGACAGGTATCAGGCAATATAGCTGTGTACCCAGGAAGCTAGGCCGGTAGCTGGGGTCATTGGACCAATGGAGGTGTTAAGGAGAAGGATCTTCCTCTGAAAGGTATGGGCAGATGAAGGGGCACCAAACAATTGCAAAACACCCTCACAATCCCTGCCCATCTAAAGCAGCTCCTTAGGGTGCAGCAGGGAAGTGGCAAGTGGGAAGAGGGGAGCTCGATCCTGCCCTAGGATGGTGGCGCTGGACCGCAGTTGGTTGGTTTGATTAGCAGTGGTGTTTACAGACACGGAGGCTTTGCAACCCAGGAGGGAAAGAGACAGAAAATATCTGGTTAATCGTGCTTCTTCCATTTTAGAGACTTCAGAAACGAACCCTGTTTGAGTATGAGGCGAGGTGGCATGCCAAGGGACAAGATGTCTGTAAGCTTCCCTGAAGATGAGGATCTCAACCTTGCCAATGAGGCAGGTGAGTCCAACGACCCATCTGGTCTTCCTGAGCCAATTTAGAGAGGCCGTCTCTTGGCTTTACTGATGGGAGGCCAGAGAACTTTGACGTGGTTCTTGCCCCTAGGCTTGGCCTCCACTCTGGCTGGAGAGGAATCTCCGGCTTTTAGAAGAGACTCAGATGGTGGTCCGGAACGTTGTTTTTCCCCCTACTCCCCACAAGAGTCCCCCGCCCCAACTGCTCCAATCCACCATGATCTCCTTTTCTTCAAAACCCTCTATGATTTACTGGCTATATGCCTGAAAATAGCATTTCCTCTGTGGAGCAGTAATTTCTTATTTAACTCTTCGACAGCTCAATATCCATCTCGTCAGCTGGAATGGGAATCCCTCACCCCAGGCCTCGTCTGTATCTTGCACAGAGGCTGGCATAGAGTAAGCGCTCGATGAATGCTTCTCAACTGACTCTCTCTTCGGGCCTAATTAAGACTAAGCTCAGAGTATGCTCTCAAAAGGGAGAGTCTGGATCAATTAATGGGTGTACAGCATCGACACAGTGAGGGGGAATGTGAGAACTTACTGGAGGGAAGCTACCTATTTTACCAAAAGAGACACGAGCAAATCTATCTCCCTGACATGGCAGCATGGTAGAGTAAAAACTAATACAGGCTTTGGAGTCAAACCTGGATTCAAATCCCAGCTTGTTAGTAGTCTGACCCTGGGAAAATTCTTACCTTCCCTCTGAGACACAGTTTCCTCATCAATAAAATGAACATAGTATCTACCTTTATTTTTCACACCAGGATAAAAGAATTACATCAAAGTGGTTTTTAAAGATACCTACCTTACTAAGCTATAGCAAATTAGGATGAAATGAAAAAATGTATAGAAAACTCCAAACACAGTATCTGGGCCCATCGTAGGCATGCTCTAAATGCCTCTGCCTTTTTCTACCCCATTCACCCTCTCTTTCTGACACTCCCTCACCTTGGAAGGGGTATCGCTTGCCTCAGAGGCAAGATGGATTATTGCAGTGGTTACTAAGTTTTTTTCCTTCCCTGCTAATTCATCTAGGACTCAATCCACAGAATTTGGAAGATGAAGGCAAAGGACAAAGGACGGAGCCAAGATGGAGGAGGGAGGATGTGTCTAAAGGCGGGCCAATACAGGAAGCACTGTCGGCTTGGTTCACATCAGGAGAATGGCTTCATGTTGGCTTGCGATTTTACTGCCCGTCAGATCTCCTGCCACCTCGTCCAGGACCTCACCCCCATCCATTATTCCTTCTTTCTTCTGTGTCTTTAACCTCTCCTTTACTATTTCCTCCTTAGCCTATACATATGTTCAAGTCTGTCCTATTTGTAAAAGACACCCTTCCCCAGAAAACCTCCCTCGATTCCCTGCCTTCTTTTCAGCTACTTCTGCCCTATCGATCTCCTTTCTTTCATAGCCAACCATCAACAAAGAGTGGCGGCCCTCATTATCACCATCCACTCAGAAGAGTGGCTCCCAAACAGCATATTTCTATTTTCTCCATGCATTTGTTTTCCAGATTTGTATTGCAGGTCAGTGATCTACAGGGATGTCAACGACTGGAGGCACAGAAACTGAGCAGCAGTGTCATCTTCCTTCTGATGGAGAGAACTTCTGCAGCTCTTATATTCTCAGCGACTATCATACTTTATGGGCAAAAATGGAGACATGCCCTCTGAGTCACATAGAAAACAAGAGCCTTGACGCGACCCATGTATCTTGGCACCCCCTGGTGGCAACCTACATAAACCGAAGTAGCTCTTGTAAGAACTCCCTTCAGGAGTTCAAGCTGTGGAAATTGTTCATTGAAGAAAGCGAACCTTGAGTTGCTGACTGAGATGGTTAATAGTGCATAAAAAAGGTACATCGTGAAATAGGATCAGAAGGTTTTCAGGATATGGTGAAAGTCCAAGAATTTGCATTTCATAACAGCCCTTGATGGCTTATATACCTGGTCACCCACTTTGGGAAGGAGCCCAGGTTGAATATCCTTCTATCTAGTCGTACCCTTCAGATATAACCAGGTTACTGTTTATTCTCCAGATTCCAACATCCTATCATTTTGTACATTGGCCTCCCACTCATGTAGGACTTGTAAAGGGCTTCTGAGACACAACATACAGATGTTCCACAGAGAACCATAGTAACTATGAATAGGCGGTGAAAGATATACGATCTTACTTGGATCCCACTTTGCTAATTGTGGGAGAATACAGACGGTGGTATCCAAAGAGCAGCAAAGAAGTCTCCCTCCCCCAACTCAAACTCCATCTTGTTGAGTTTATTTCATTTATGCTCACCATATAAGTTTTTCTCTTCAATGGTCTGAGTTTATCTTGAAGTTGCTGTCATAGGTAACTCAGTAAAGAAACAAGAGTATAGTTGCTTTCTGAGTTACCGTATTTACTCAAATGAACTTCCAAAAGAAAACAAGCATGGTATATCTCTTTTTTGTTCTTTCTAAATGACTAAATCTGATAAAATGTGACTAAAATTCAAGATTCCTCAAGTTAGAGCCAGAAGCACAAATCCATAAAACTTCCCAATTTTAAAGCTGTCTGCTGGGAATTCTTAGGGCAGTGAAAATATTCGGATACTATAATTATGGTTATATGTCATTATACATTTGTCCAAACCCATAGAATGTACAACACTAGGAGTGAACTCTAATGTAAATTCTGAACTTTGTGTGATTATGATGTGTCAGTGTAAATTCACCAGTTGTAACAGAGGTACCACGCTGAGAGGTGGCATTTGATAATGGGAGAGGCTCTGTATGTCTGGGGACAGGGAATACATGGGAAATCTCTATACCTTCCTCTTAATTTTGCTGTGCTCTAAAAATATAAAAAGGATATTATGCTATAAAAAAATAAATAAAGTTGTCTGCTAAACGGGTCTATACGCAGTGGGCTGTGTGAGTGAAGTAGTGGACCAAGTAGATTTATGATGAAAGAGATCAAGAGGGAAACAGAAATTGAAACAACGAAGTTACCTGGGGACGTTTCCACACCACCTTCCCAGGAAGCAGTCGGTTGTAGAAAAGTGAATCATTCTCAGGCAAAAAGGTTGGATCACAGAAAAGTCTACCATCCCTGATGCATTCCTGCTTCAGTTCCTGGTACTTCTGGTTTTTGAAGAGCTTCAGAGGAGGACCCATAATGTCAAACTATGTCTAGAATGAGAAAATTGTTGTTATTGAAGGAAGAAGTTCTCAAGTCTTTTAAAGATTCCCTGAGATTAGACAAACAGTTGTCATCCCAGTGATTTATTCCCAGAGCTGGGCACCTCAGTTTTAGCTTTAAAGGAAAAGTCACCATTTTCAGGGAAAGAAGGGCCCAGGGTCTGCAGCAAATTCGTCTGGGGGTTGGGATAAGGCATCTAAACCATTTCTGGGTCTCAGTTTCCTCATCTGCCAAATGGGGTAATATGGGCCTTAACAATCTTATTGGAAAAATAGATAATAAACGTTAAGATTGCTAGTTAAACGTGAGTCATTATAATTTAAAGGGCAATCTTCCATCTTCCACTGGCAGGGAGGAGTTCAAGCACAGAAAAATTCTAAATTTGAAGAGAAAGGGGGAAAATCGCTTTACTACATTCAGAATAATTTGGTGCCCTGAAGGGCCACACACTTTGTGCTTGAGGAGAGAAGCAGCCCCTTTCACTTCTAACAAGCCCTTTTACACAATTCCTTCCCTTTTATCATTAAAGAGGTTTGCGTTTTTATTACTGGCCAGGAAGACTAATGCAAGAAACAGAGCTCAGCAGATGGCCTCCGAAGACAAGGAAAGATAGAAAGATTGTATGTGTCTGTCTTCTTCAAAGTGTAGTGTGCAATCATCGGCCCACTATAAAAGGCAGACTCCGAAATTCAGTTACACCAATTAGGTGGATTCTTATCCCACGTCAATACACTGTTGCTTTCTTTTCTTAAAAAAAAACACAACGAAACAACTCTCACATGGCTATACAGAGAATTAATATAGTGGCTCTTCAGGCAATGTCTATCAGAGTGCCCCACACTCAAATGCCCCTGACAACTGGTTTTTATGAGGATAATTTGAAAGGTAAATTTGATTTTAAACAGCTTTGGGGTGATAATAGGGTTTTCAATGACTTTGCTTGATTCACAAAGATAGATTTGTAATGATTTTAATGATCTTCTGATGACAGTCAATGGTAAATAGAAGGGGGCTGGAAAATCTATATGCACCAAGTATATCAAAAATATATTCTAAGGATAACGGTGTCTATATTCTATGATTACATGAGGGTTGAAACAAAAAATCTGGCTAAGGTCAGAGTGTCTGCTAAAAAATGGATGAAATTTTAAAAAAGGCTAATTAATTAGCACTTTAAAGAATATCTGTGTAGGTAACACAGCTCAAAACTCAGTTAATAATGAGGCAGTTGCTAGTTTATAAAAAGTGTAATATTAATCAGACCTGTCTACTATCTTACTTCCTGTTCCTTTAGTATTACATTGAAATGCCTTACCGGTAAAGAAGTCTCCCCATTTGAAAACCATAAAAAAATGTAATTCGATGTTATTTGCAACCTACAATATATGTAAACAAACTTACCCTTTCTCTGAATCCAAGGAATAAGAAGCTGGAAATAACCAGTTTTTCCATAGCCTCGTTTATTGGCAATTGTTTTTCAAATAGAAGGCTACAGGAAACTGCAAGTACTGAAATGCTTTCAGTCATCAGATTTAAGTCTGTCCACGGGTTTTAAATATTAACGTGTATTTCACTGTGTTTGAAGTCGTGGACAGTATCAGTAATAGTTTTCCATTAAGCAGCATCAGAGCCAATCTGAACGTATGCCCAGGCTCCTTTCTGGGGCCTTTTACAAATGGACCCCAATTTTTACATGTGCTCAAACTTACAACAAATCCTACCGTGCCTCTTGCTTTTCCTGGAAGGTTGGGTGGATTGCCAGAGGCCGGGGACTGCAAATGGGGGATCGTCTGGGACAATTAGGATATTTAGTTTCCCAGAGCCTCCTAGTTCCTGAACATTTTGGATAAGTGAGCATTTCCTGTTCTTGGGAAGGCCCGCTGCTGCTGCCAGTCTACCTTGTTACCTAGTCAAATGCCTGCAAAGGGAATCCCTATTATATAAAGAGGCCTGTCTACAGGTAGAAACAGCATCAATTGAGAAGAAAATCAAGTTTGATTTTCAAAACCGGTATGATTCCAGTCGACTTTATCAGAGACAGAGTGTACAGCTGGTGCAGATAATTCAAGCTTTTCGGGTGAGGGCACACGCATTTTGGGGGCACACAGAAAATAAGGAATAGCGAGCAATAGCCTCAACTTTGACAGGCATTCGTTAGAGCACAATTGCAGTCCCACGCCCCGTCGGACTTGCAGAGTAGAATTGCCCCTGATTTCTGACTGGGTAGCAGAAAACTATATTCCATTTGCTGTGACCTTGGTTTCTTTGTGCCTCAATTTTCTCAACAGGGGAGTGGGGTTATTTATCTTGCCCTCCTTACACTGTGGCTCTCCCTAATGAGATGGTTAGTGTACAGGTGTTTCGAATAAGCAGAAAGGGCTCCATAAGTGCACTGCCTGGCACAGAGCTAGGTACCCAGCCACTGTTCAGGAAATAGTTGTGGAATGGATGAATGTCTTATGTAGAAAATTAATGTTTGTGTAGCAATTTATTGTTTGAAGGGTGCATTTCAGCTCATGTTCCCTTCATGGCAGCCACGTTTTGTAGATGTTATCTGTGCCCTTCATTTTGTATCTCCAGAAACGGCAGCTCAGACAAGGGGCAGCTAGAAAATGGCGGAGCTGACTCAAAGCCTGGTCTGTGTTAACACCCGATTTAGTGTACAGCTTTCTATCACACCACACTGCTTCTTTTGCTCACTGCCTTCTTAAAGAAGGGATTTTTTTTTTTTAGCTCAAATGAGGAAAACCCTCCAAAGCAAACATGATACCTAACTTGGAGGCATTCTGCCTAGAATTCATTGCCGTGGTAGATATTGAAAAGGTTCTTTATTTCCATGGTTTGATGAGCATGGGAGAATCCAAACACTTCACATCTCAGGGTTCATCAGTTAAGTCTCAGAAAACTTTTGGAAACTCAGAAATTTGTCTTGGGTTTGTCATCAACAACTTGCCCTGTCAGGGTATAGGAGAGTGGAGAAGGGAATGTTCCTTCTTTGCTATCTTACTGTACCCAGCTGTGAAGACAAGAGAGCCTTTAGGTTAAAGACCACATATAGGAAAGTCAGTAAACAGAAGCAAAGCTGGGGTTTTGAGTATCAACCAAAGAAGGCCTCCAGCTAACAAAGGGAACATGCACATTTAAGAAGGGGGACCTTGTGTCCTGAGGGCTAGTATTATGGGTGGTTGGGTGAAAAAGAGTGTGGAGTTTTGTATTGAGACAATGGTCTTAAGAAGTACTGTTTGAGTGGGGATCCTTCATCCAGAGAGAATGAAGAAGGCCGTGTGAACCAAAGCTAGTGGGAGGGGTGGCTCCAGGGTGTGGTGAGTTAGGAGTTGCCAGGGAAAGTTGAGGGAGCCTGCCACGTGGAACACGAGGCCACAGTTAGGAGAGGGGGCTTTTGCTACTCACCGGACCAGAAAGTTTGGGAAGCTGGACAAAGTCTTAAGAGGAAAATCACTTGTTCTTTGCCTGTGGGTCAGCCTTAGAGTAGAAACCAGATTTTGCTCTTAAAAATGAAATCTGCCTCAGTTTACTCAAGAGAATTATGATCTGATAAGAGGAAATCCAGTCTGTGGTTTACAACCTGCTTTCCATTGCGGTGAGTGGGAGGGCAGGGGACGGCGTTTAAGGGGGAGAGAGGGAGAGAACAGGGCCCCCGAGAGTGTTGTTCCTGGCTGGTTTCTCCTTTTCCCCAGTTTCCCCCTTGTATTCTACTTGGGGCAAAATCGGACGTCAAAGCAATTGGGAGTTTGCAGAGCAAAGTGAATACAGAAAACTTAACTCTGCCCCGGCATGACGTAGCGGCCACTTTCACCACAATCGGGAGTCTCTATCCTCACCCCTGGGGGTGGTGTGAGGAGAGAAATGGGGCTTGGAGAAGGAGAAGTAATCAAAATTCAGCATCCACATTTTACCCAGAGAAGAGTTGCTTTCCATGTCTACACAGGTAGAAGCATGGCCACACCTTAGAGAATGCATCTACCAAGGAACGTACGGTTCTTCAGATTCAAATTGTTGGCCAGATATTCTGAGGTCCGAAAGGGACCACAAAAGTCCTCTGATCCAGCCTTATATAGAACACATCTACTCTGCCCAGAGAGAAGACGCTGTTCAAAGAAATTCCAAGAAAAAGAGTACACAATTTCCTTTAATTCCATTGTTGCAGAACTCTATCAAAAAATGAAAAGCAATTCAAAATCATGAAAAGAGCACACATAGTCAGGAGATCCAGTCCCAAATACCATCATTTAGTGTAGATAACATCTCTGTCCCTCAGTTTCCCCATAAGAGCAATGGGAATAAAATGGCTGCCCCATATACACCTCAGGGTGTTATTGGGGAGATCTAACAAAATTAGGAATGTGAACATGCTTTTTAACTATTAAGGATAAGACCGATATAGGGCAGTAGTATTAGGAAGCGCTCGTTCTAAGCAAGTTAAATCCCTTTTCTGTCCTTAGTGGAAAATGAGGAGATTTGATCACATACTTTAAGTAAGACACACACAAACATTTGAAAGACCAATATAAAATGGCCCCTCTGCCATTCAGTACCTCCTCTCTCTTCCACCTCTCCATTTTGGCTGACTTGCCCCACTACCCCTTTTATTTTTCCCTCTTGGCTGGAATAAGCCCATCCTATAAGTCTAATTTTATAGCCCTGCGAAAATCTAATTCCAGTTTTTCTAGAATGTTACATTGGATGGACTCTTAGAGATAGATCACTTAGTCCAATTCCTTGCTTTTACAGGAAGGTGAAGGGACTTGTCCAAGGTTGCACAGTTAGTGACAGAGCTAGCGCTAAAACCTGGACCTCCTGACTCGTTTTACCACAATTAAAAAAAAAAGCTGGGGGAGCATGCCAACACAAAACCTCAAGACATTGCTTTTGAAAATTCTTATTGTCCTCTTCTTACAAGAATGCACTTAGGAGTTTTGTTTTTGAATTGCTGTCAGAAGGTGAGATGATCTCAAATCAAAGCTAATCAAAGAAACACTGTTTTGGGGTCACAAAGGGGCTTTTTCTGCTTTTAATTTAGGGACTGAAAACTCCCAAGGATACGGAAAGCCTGCTTTTTAACCTATTCCTGACTACACAAGTGTTTAGACTTCTGCCTCGCCTGCTAAGGACTCTAAGGATAAATAAAGAATGCTATTCAAATCCAAAGTATTCATAAACGCACATGCGCGTCTGTGCACACACACTCACATACACACAAACTGCAAGAGGAATGCAAGTTAATTAGCCGTCCCCCGTAGAATCTTTTCCTAAATTCCTTCAGACTATAAAATGTCCTTAATTTCACAACAAATATTAGCAAATGAGGCATTAGTCAAATTTCAATAAAAACATTAATTGCAAACCAGGATGCTTTATCCTGAAGCCAGAAGTGACTGTCAGGATGGCAGAATTTGTTTAATTTCCCTATGTGCTTGTCACCATATTTCAAGCTCCAAATCCTCAGAACCAATTTTTAAGTGCAATGCTCCAATCCTTTTGCCACCGCGTTCTCACCCCAGCCTGCTCTGGTCAAGTAGTCCAGCTAAGCCCCCAGAACAATGTAGTTGCGGTAGGGACGGATAGAGCCCCCAGCTGCAAATCTAAGTTTACACCAATGCAAGAATCAGAGAAAAACAAAACCAGGCCAGCCAGGGGCTGATCATGAAATAGCCAAGATCAACCTGTCACCAGGACAGGAAGATCCCGGCTCTGCAGACAGGACAGACTCTGCTGCCATTCCCTCCTGTGCAACAGTGTACCACCTATGGACCCCACTTCCAGGGCTTAAAGACCTTTTGCACACAGTATGGCTCCAAGATTCTGCCTGCATTTCAACAATCTGCCTACAATTGCGGGTCAGCAGAAGCTAGAATAAAGCCCTGAAAATGGGGATTCTCCCCCCCTCACACTCGCCTCCCAGGTTTGTCCTTCCTTACCAGGTATTTTAAGTAACAGGAGACCAAAAAACAAAACAAAACAAAACCCTAGCAGATATCACCAGAAAAGTCTCATGGCCAGACAACCACAGTTACCCCTTGCCCCCCCCTCCAAATAAGCAATCCAAAATTCCATTAGTTTCGAAGTTTCCAAACTGCTATTACGCACACACATTCTATCCAGACAAACCATAAAATGATAGCTGCGGAGTTTACCTATAAAGTGCAAGTTCCTTCATTTCATTTAGACTCTAAGTTATCCAGCAAATAAAATTGCAGGATGAGTTTGCGAATGTCCTCTCTCCTCACCTGAGTTATCCAAGGAGCCTTGCTGCTGCTGCTGCTGCTGCCGCCGCTGCCGCTGCCGCTGCTCTTAGCCAGGTAACCCCTACAAAGTCTGTTCAGTCAGTGCGGCTGAACAAAGATTCTGGCTTTCTTAACCTGAAAACTATTTGGGCTGTACCAAGCTCTGCTCACAGGGGGAGGTGCCTTGCAGAAAATTCAGGAGCCTTTGCCCCGCCTAGCAGTCAGAAACTGATCCAGAGTCATGAGGAAAATCTGGAAAGCACCCCTACCAGATGTGCAGACGGGATGCCCACTCCAGACCCACCCACCAGCAAACTGAAAAACCCAGGAAAACACGTTCCAAAGCTCTTTCTGTTCCAAGGAGAAATAGGACTTTTCAGGGAGGGGTCTGAGAGATTTCTGACTTTTCTGTCCCAGGGTTAATAGTGCAGACCTGAGCATGACTCGAGAGAGGACGTGGAGAGAAAGCTCTTGAAGCGCTGGCAGAGTTCTTGTGGGCTCGGCCCTGTACACGGATCTACGCTGGTGATGAGGACTTCAGCGAGTGGGTGGGTGTGAAAGAGGAGACGGTGGGGCACAGGCAAGAAAAGGTTGCTTCGTGAAGCAACAGGTTACATCTGGCCAAGGGCAGAGAGAAGGGAGCAGTAAGAGGAAAGTGAATGGAGTTTGATTGCACGGCAGCTGTAAGAAACCTAATTTCTAGCAACGGGGCTGTGAAGAGTCTGCCTGGCGATGTTAGGTGAAAAGCAGAACACGTAACTGGGTGTGCACTGAACAGCCGACCAAGGGGCTTCAGCGAGATACTCAGACCCCTGGGAATACTATGCCGCACCCCCATCACGGTCCTGTTCCCTGAGACATTCCCTGGGACACAGTTCCAGGGACTAGATTCTCAAGTCGTTTTTTTTGTTTCAATTTTCAGAAACGATGAGGACTCCCATGGTCTCATTCCCCAGCTCTCCCAACCAATGTGGTGGTAACCTTTGACCTGAAATTACCACCCTCTGCCCCATCCCTGCGCCAAATCTGCTGCTGGCTAGTTGAGGAGAGAGACAGAGGGAGAGAAAGAGAGACTTAGAAGGAAAAGAAGTGTGCTTGCCCTACTCACCGGCCCCAATATTTTCATGAAACAGATCTGAGCAGTTCTCTTAACTCTGATCTCTACGACCTCCTCCTTGGCACTGCACCACAACTCCCTCTGTGCCTTCTCGCCCTCTATGCCAAGATGGAAACTGAGCAACAGGTAGGGGGCAACACAAAACACCAGAACCCGGGAGAATGAGGGCTCTCAATGTTGGCACCTGATTTGGTTCCTGAGTGACAGATTTCTCAAGCAAGTATGCCCCGTATTGTGGGATTTGGGCTTTGAAACCAAGGGAGGGTGTTTTGTCTGGGTTCATCAGCCATCTTTTCCACGTCCATAACTTTCAAATGAGTCGGGCATCATTGAACCTGAGATTTAGAAGAAACTTTAGAGGTTATATCTACCCTCCCGCTCAGTGCAGGAATATCATCCCGATAATCTGGAAAGCCCATCCCTCTGTAAAGCAGCTTGTTCCACGTTTGGACATCCCCTAATTGTTAAAAAAAAAACCGTATTCCTGGGCGTCCCTGGTGGCGCAGTGGTTGAGAGTCCGCCTGCCGATGCAGGGGACGCGGGTTCGTGCCCCGGTCCAGGAAGATCCCACATGCCGCGGAGAGGCTGGGCCCGTGAGCCATGGCCGCTGAGCCTGCGCGTCCGGAGCCTGTGCTCCGCAACGGGAGAGGCCACAACAGTGAGAGGCCCGCGTACCGCCAAAAAACCCAAAAACAACAACAACAACAAAAAACAAACGTATTCCTTAGGTTGAGCAAAAAGTTAGCTTTGCATAAACTATTTCTAATTCCTCTTTCACATGACAGATATCTGTCATGTCAGCCCACGTCTTTTGTCCTTCAGGCCAAATATCCTCAGTTCATTTAAATCATGCCTCATGGGACGTGGTTTCCAGATCTTCCATTCGGGTTGTCTGCTCAATGTGGAGCTTGTAGCTCAATTAAAACCCTCTTCTGTTTCTTGCACGAACTACTATTATTTGCCTGTTTCTATGCTTATACAATTGACTTTTATTTTAGCCTAGGTGCCGGGCCTTACATGCATCCTCGATAACCATCACCTTGTTTATTTGTCGTATTTATTTTTAAATTAAATTAAATTTTATTTTATTGTTTTGGCCACGCACCAGGGATCTTAGTTCCCCGACCAGGGATCGAAATTGCGCCCCCTGCAGTGGAACCACAGAGTCTTAACCACTGGACTACCAGGGAAGTCCCACTTTGTTTATTTTTGTATTTCAATTTACCTCTCTTATGATTTTTCTAGATCTTGAGTCTCTCATCTAAAATACCATATTCTTTATACCAATGTTTCTCAACCTTTTTTTTTCCATTTTTACACCTCTAAGGAGCCTTCTAAGACATTTTTCTCTAATCTCTGCCTGTGAAATTTTAATAATACTGATATGCTGTGTATATGTTTATTTACTCTCTACAGGTCTGGGCTCTATGTGTAAAGGTTTTTTTTCACTCCTCAAGAAGCAATTTTGCCCTCTTGGGGGCGATATCGCCTCCATTGAAAGTGCAGCTGTGTATCACCAAGTTTCTTTTATCTGCATATTTGATCAACTCGACTAATAAAAATATTGAACGAGAGAGAGTCCAGGACAGAAGACTGCAGCATGACCTTAGAGCCCTCCCCTTATTAAAAATCATTTTTAATAAGGTTGTTCAAACTTGAAGCAATCCATATAACTTCTGCTACCAACCAGCTCCAATTTTTCCACCTTCTCCACGAGGATACCGTAAGACTTTTTCAAACGTCTCACTGAAATCCAGATACATTACACTATGGTATCCCCTTCATCTACCCTTTTAGATATCCATTCAAAAAAGGAAATGGGCTTAGTTAAGCATGACTTGCTTTTAGTGAGCTCATGCTTACCCCTAGTGATTTCCGCTCCCTTTCTAAAGCCTCAAAAATGATCTGCTTAATAGTGCATTCTATGCTTTTGCCAAAGACCAATGCCATGCTCACTGGTCTGCAGTTTCCAGGATATACATTTTGCACTCTGCAACACCAGCCCCCTCCCCTTCAATCAAACTTGGAACAACGTTTGCCTGCCTCTTTGCGTCTCTTACCTATTCCCTTTGCCATAATTTCTCAAAGGTTACTAAGACTGGCTCTGTGATCACATCTGCACATTCTCTCAGTAGCCTCGGATGTAATTTGTCCGGGCCTGGAAACTTGAACTCATTGAAGGCAACTAAGTACTCCCTTATTATCTCCTCATCTATCTTGGGCTTTAATTCTCTTTCCAGTTCAAAGATCATGCTCTTTGATGGAGAGGTTAAGTAACTTGCCCACAGTCACACACCTAGTAAATTGGCAGAGCTGGAATTTAAATCCAACCGTGTCCAACTTTAAACTCTGGCTCTTAACTGGCATGCTATCTAGCTTCCAAGTATCAAATGAGTGGTATGGCCCACGAGTGCCATATGAGTTCCAAAGTGGGAGAGAGCTCTTCCAGCAAGAGTAGTCAGCACAGGCTTGGTAAAAGAGGTGAAATTTGAACTGCATCTTTAAGCATGAGTGGGATTCTAATAGGAAGAAAGGAGTGATGTGTGCATTTGTGGTAGGGTGATACAGGAGATTGAGGATAGCATCCCAGGCAGGGGAAATAATAAATAATCGCCACTTTGCGTCTGCCTCATAGTACATTTAGTTGATCATTATGAACACTGAGTGACCACAAGTGGTCAAGAGATAGCCAGGGTGCCCCTGCCTTCTCTCAGTAAGTAACGATTCAAGCTCTGTTGCTTACTAGTTGTCCTATACCCTCGGGCAAGGAACCATCCTCCTGTGCCTTGCTTTCCTGCTCTATAAAATGGGAATAATAATGAGCCTACTTTATAGAGGGCTGCTGTGAGGATCCAATCAGCTAGTTAACACATGTAAATTACTTAGAGCACTGCCTGGGGTACAATTGGGGCTCAATACATATTTATTACTGTCATTGCTATTATTACTGTGATTCATTTATTCATTCAACAAGCATTTACTGAGCTTCTACTATGTGCCAGATACTATGTTAGGTCCTGGGGATATAATGAGAGCAATAAGAAACATGATCTGAGCCCTCAATGAGTTAAAGATCAGCCATTCATTTATTTTGTGGAAGTTTTCAGTCTGTGCTATTTTTTTTGTTTGTTTCACATTCCGGGTAAAGTGGTACATTTGACTTATTCTTTTTTTTTTTTTTTTTTTTTTTTGCGGTGCGCGGGCCTCTCACTGCTGTGGCCTCTCCCGTTGCGGAGCACAGGCTCCGGACGCACAGGCTCAGCGGCCATGGCTCACGGGCCCAGCCGCTCCGCGGCATGTGGGATCTTCCCGGACCAGGGCACGAACCCGCGTCCCCTGCATCGGCAGGCGGACTCTCAACCTCCTTCAAAAGTTTGCGGGGATAGTTGTAAGAATCGTTTTGATTCAGTAGCCCAGGATTGGTAGAGCACATTGGTGGCTACTCTGTCCAAGATGCTATAAGATTCTGGTTAATTCCATCTCAACACACACCCAGGTCTTGGAGTCTGCCCTTTTGCATCCTCCAGCTGCATTCCTCGCCCGATCTCCTCTCCCATCTCGGGCATTTTCCACCCCTAGGTTGTAAAATCGACTTCCCCTATGGGGAAAATCCAGCTGCACCCGGTGTGGAGTGTGGTACGGCCGTGGTGTGGGGCAGCATTTGGTTTTGGCCAGCTGACTGCAGTCCCTGCTTCTTTTGACTTTACAATCCCCCAAGGCCAGTGAGAGTGTGAACAGAAGCCACGGAAGAGGTTGGACTGTCAGCTTCCAAACCAAATAGCCTTGGGCCAGTGTGGGGTGGAGTTCAACCAAAACTTTGGGAGGGGGTAAATTGGATGTCTTCCCTGTTGGCCTGGTTAACACAAAAATAGTCTTCACTGGGCTGTCGGCAGAATTTCCTTTAATTAGGGGAAACAGCTCATTTTCCCTGTCAACTAAAGGGCTCTAGTTTCTTAATATTAGTCAAAGGAAACCTCTGTCCCTAGTAATAGAAATAAATGGTTACGGTGGTTCCTAATCTTTGACTATATCACATCTGTACCCCTCTGTTT